TGTGTCCTATCTTTCCTCAATTATAACATGTACATTGGGATATTTTCCTTTTTGGTCTATATGGTCTTTTCATTTTATAATTTTTTACATAATATCTTTGTCTTGGTTTTTTGTATTTATACATAGTTTTAGTTTTTCTATAATTTTTATATTGCCTCGATTTTTTTCTTTTTATAATTTTTTGTTATACATCCGAACTGTGGTGCTGTTTTATTTTTACATCAGGTTAAATTTTTGTTTAGTACTTTTTCCATTTTTAATTTTTCTTTTTGGTTTTCACATAGTTGTATGAACCATTGATGTAAGAATTTTATTCTTGCTCCTAAAGTATCTATTAATCCTTCATCATTCCAATCTTTTATTACTTTTGTACTAAATGGTTCTGGTAATTTCATAAAATATTGTTTTCTTATTTCTTTTGCTTCATCAAAATTGTATTTTGCTTTGTAATAATATTCTTTAAATGCACAAGTGTATTCTTCTACATAACACATTTTACATATAGCTAATTTTGTCATAAGTTGTCTATTTATTATTTTTTCTCTGTTTTGTTCTCTTATATATGTGGTCATACCGCCAAATTCACTTCTTATCGTTGATTCATATTTATCTAGTATATCTATATTTGTTGATGATGGAGATCCATCCATTTTCTTGTCACTTCTAAGTACTTCTAAACTTTCTAAGGGTAGATTTTCTATCCATAATCTTGTTGTTCCTACAAATGTTTTTTCTATATACCTTGGTGTTTCTGTTGTTTTTATTTTATTATCTATTAGTTGCTTAGATATATTTCCTATCCATAGTAATATCGCTTTATTTGTATCTGTAACACAGTCTAGATCTAAGAAATTATATTGTTCGTTTATTGGTTTTGGTATCCAATTTTTATTTAATCTACTATTCCATATTGCGTTAGTTCTATCTGATTGCTGATAACTTTCTGTATAATAAGTTGGTGGTGTCAATCTGGGACTAATTCTAGGACTATTTCTGAGACTATTGTCTGGAGTTTTAACTCTTGACGTACTAGGTCTATTCATATCTCCTGTGTTTATTTCTAATTTTTTTGGTTTATTTACCTATTCTAGAAATTCTGTATATGTCTCACTTATATCACTTATTTCTGATTTTTGATCATTTATTGTATCTGATTCATTTTCGTTTATTTCATTTACTTCAAGATCTTCATTTAGTTTTTGTTCCATCTCTTTTATTTCATTAGTTAATTCAAGCTCTTTATCTTTTTCCTTTTGTTTTTGTTTAGTTTCATATAATAATTTTAACCTAGCTAATTCTTTTTTAATTCACTTATTCTTGTATTTTTTATTTCTTCTAAATGTTGTACTTCTTGTTTTGCTTGTATTTTTATTTTTTCAATTTCTTTTGATTTGTCTATTTCTTCATTTTCTTTTGTTATTCTTATCATAGCTGTTAAACTATCTTCTAATTTTGCTGTTTCTTTTTCTAACATTAAATATAGGTTATTTCCTATTTTCTTATATCTTCTTCCTAAATTTGAAAATATTATTTTTATTATCATTCCGTCTTGATTTTCATATGTCTTTTCGTCTACTGCAAATTCTTCTTTGTTGATTATAATTTATGTATTATATTATGTTGTAGCCTATATTCAAGACAATCTATTTCTAGTTCTAACATAAATATAACTTTTCCTTGTGCTAATATTGATTTATTACATACTCCTGCTAAAATATTTTCTTCTAGTCTTCTTTTTCTATGTTGTAATTCTTGTTCTTTTTCAGCTATTTTTTCTATCAATTGTTGTTTATATTTTTCTTTGTTCATACTGTTTTTTCAAATAACAAACATATTTGTATTCTGTTTTTGAAATTATATGATTAAATGATCTTTTTTATTGTTACTTGTTTTGATAAGTTGTGATAGTTCATATTCTATATATAAAGGTTTTAATTTTTTCAATATCTTTCGTACTTTTTTTTTAATCTATTTTGGTTCTTTTTATACTGATTTCTTTACTTGTTGTATTTTTTATTTATATTTTTTTATACAAAATTTTAAAAAGTTTACTTAATTTATTTGGGTTTTTAATAATTTTTATTTTATAAAAATTACTATTTCGTTTTTGCCAAATTTCAGACATTTTTTATTTAATTATTGATCTCTGAATACATCTAAATCGTCATATAAATCATACATGTCATAATATAATTCATCTTTTATACTTTGTATACTTAGTTCAGCCCAACCTTGGGTTGTTATTTCTATTACTTCATATGTTACTAATATGTCATAAATTTCTCTTTTTATATCTGTATAAAGATCTTTTTAGATATAAAGTATTAATATCTTATAGTTAACATCTCGTCTAGTAGGTAAGTATTCCAACCTCTTAATGGATTATACTTATTTATTATGTAATAATAATGATTTAATAATCATCTCGTGTAGTCACTACTACAGTTTTCTTCTTTGATCAGTTACCCTAACAGCGCCTCAACTTTGTTTACTCCCCTAACGGCCTTCTTTGCCTATCGGTTTCAACCTTAGGATGACATAGTCTGGGTATACTTATTCGCGGAATATTTCTGTAGCAAACTTTCTAAAAATGGTTATTATAACATTATTAAGACATGATAAACAATTATAATCAACAAGAGATTATCAGGAATAAAGTAATTTAGCTACTCATGAAGAAAATAAATGTATACCTGCTTCTGTAGATTTGTTATCTCTGATGTGTTTTCCATATCTTCCCTTTTGAATATCTAGCTCTGATACCAATGTGGGGTGGAAGGGGAATTAAAAGGAATTAAGAGTGAGAGAGAGATGTATTTGAAAGGGATGATTTTATTATGAGGGAAAGCCCTCCATTTATACACAAAAACTTTACACCTTTGGCCAAAATGGCCGACACTTACTTTACACTTGGCCTTTTTACATTTGGCCGACACAAAAAACAAAAAACTTACTGGTACTAATGGCCTATTTTTTTATTATTGGCTGACATACTTTTACAATACTTTTTTACATATGGCTGATATTCAGCCGACACAAAACGATAAACACTAAAAACAAAATACTTTACTTTGTACACAGATATCTAATAACAAAATAGAGTGAGTAAACAAGAATAGTTCTTATCGTACTTTATATTGGGCATATACATGCATATACTGGCTTTTAAGAGTGAGTAAACAAGAATAGTTCTTAGCGTACATTGTATTGGACATATACATGCATATATTTATAAAGGTGACACTTCTCTCTATATATATATGCTTCTAATCCAATTAGTCAAATTAAAGTTTAAGCTATTCAAACTGACTGTTTCTACTTCAATTCAATGGTCTTGTAATCGGTGAAACTAATTATATTAATTATAATAAGGATGGGAGCTAGTTATATGGTTCATTTTGACTCCTTCAAATAATTCAACTTGGTCCTTAGATTTTGTCGAATTTGGTGGGATATATACTAATCATTGGAAAAATAAGAAAAAGCATCACATTTTAAGACTATATATAAACAAAAGTAAGAGTATTAATCACTCACTTTCGTTCGTTCTATTTTAGTTGTCATAATTTATTTTTTTTAATATCAAATTGTTAAGCCCCCCCCCCCCTCTTCTTTGAGTTGACATTAATTTTTATTTAGATACTCTATCTAGACTTTTTGTTCATTTTAAACACCTCAGGTCATGTTCCGTTGTATCATTGACACTAAAATAAATAAAGCCTAGTTGGGAGTGTCTAATTTTAGAGTCTCAACTTTAAGTGGTCATCAATGACTAACATTTTAATACTATTTATTTTTTCATGATATTGATATGGAAAAAGTTGCAATTTACATTTTTTTGTATATAGTTTTTGAATATCTAAAATTTTAATGTTAAAAATATCGAATTAACTTAATCTATTTTAATTTTGAGAATTAATGAAATTGACTCTAAAAAAGAACAAAATAACAACTAAACAGAAACGAAAGAAGTAAATAAGTACCTTAGGAACCTAGATCCAGTAATCTCTTTCTCACCATATTTTCTCCAAGTATAACCATCCTCTGGTGGAAGTTCAAGATTTCCCATTCTTGGAGCACCCACTCTCAATGTTCTTCTATCTCTATCTCCTGTTCTGCACCTTAATTCATTCATGCAAATTATCATTAAAATGATCATTAAAATTACACCAATATTATTACAACATGTCAATTAAAGGATTTAACAACCAAAATATTGACATTTGACCAAAAAAAAGGTCATTAGAAGATAACAAATATTATCTTTCTTCCCAGAAGATTCACAATAATTGAATTGCACACATTTCAAACCTCGCACAAAACTAAATAAATATGCAAAAACTTACAGCTATTAATAAGTTGTGAGAGCAAAACATCATGTCAATGTTGGTTTTTATTTGCCCTGATTTCTTACCATAAATAGATTTTTCTTTTAGGAAAAGGTTTTGCATTGACTAATCCTTTTTCTGGTAGGAAAAGGTTTAGGATTCTATAAATAGAGGAATATTCCTTCTAACTTAATCAGCATTCACAATGTAGTCTTAAAGGGCTTTGAGAGTTTTGGTTAGGGGGAGAATTTGTGGGTCACAAGCTTGATACGTTATCACTTGTGAGAACCTCCCATGTCACTACTAAAAAAAGGCCAAAAAGAGACCTAGAAATGGAGACTTCAGAAATAGGTCAATAATAAGAGACCTCATGAGATCGCTATTTAAATTAATATCTTTTTAATTTTTGTTTAATGTAAGAGAGACCTCGTGAGGTTAATTTAATAAATATATATATTTTTTTACCTGACTTATTTAAAAATTTTAAATTTTTAATTTAATTCTCATAAAATTAGAGACCTCATGAGGTCTCTTAAACAAAACAAAAAACCTAGCCAAAATTAAAATAGCTCTCTTTCTTCTCTCTCTCTTAATTTTTCGTTGACCGCCTCTCTCTCTTTCTCGTCGACCTCGTCGACCCTCTCTCTTTCTCGTCGACCCTCTCTCTGTATCATCTCTCTTTCTCGTCGACCCTATCTCTGTATCGTCCCTCTCTCTCTCTCATCGTTTCTCTCCGCCGTCGTCTTCTCCGTCTCCTCTATCCGCCGCCAGCTCTCCGCCATTTTCAGTCGTGCTTCAGCAGGTGGAGGTCGCGCCGCCTCCATATCCTCCATTTGCAGTCGCCTCAGCAGCAGCGTTCCCCTTTGACTCCAGGTAAATTTTTTGAACAAATTAATTCTTTGAAAATAAGTTAGTTCTAGTGTTAACATTTTTCTTGAGGGTAGAAAGACAAGTGGGATTGGGATTTTCTTGGTTGTTGAAGGGACGAAGAAACAGAATGGTTCCATCTTTGTGTGTTACAAGTTTAGTTTCGGATGGTTCATCAATTGGTGAAAATCAGAAAAATACTTGTCTTCATTAATACTTATCAAATAAAATGAGGAATCGAGCATGAATTGATGATATTAGAATATGAGTTAAGGTAATTTTTGATAGATTTGAACCTTAGATTCATGTTTTGTGTTGAATCTTAAAACGAGTCAAGCAAGGGTTTAGACTTATGGAATGCAATGGTAGATGACTAGTATTATGTTGTACTTCTCCTTCCCGCTCTGCAAAGCATGCTTCTGAAGTTTTTCAGTTAGGAGGCTTTAAGTACTTTGGCGGTTGAAGGATCATGTTTTTTTTAATTAAGTACTTGTCGTTGTGACAAGCAAACTTCCTTTTAAATGATATTTTTTCCTCCAAGTTCAAATTTAATAACTTTCTTTTAAGCATCTTAAGTTTATGACAATCCTTTAATGAAGTGCTCTTTTCCTCCCATATTCAACCTATCAATTAGACACATCTCCATGTGACTCATATAATGATCTAGTCAAAATTTTCTCTTAATTTGGAGCTAAACAAACCAAATTCTATTTTAGGGAGGAGGTCGTACTAAACTGTGGTGCATTTGGGCAAAGTACATTCTACTTCCACTTAGTCGGGGAAAATTTTTCCCTACTGAAAGTTGTTGGTATTCTTGAAGGACTGGGTATATATGTTTCATTACATCTACTGATATAAAAGAAGTAATATACCGCATTTCCCTTGGAAGCGTTGGAAGCATGTTTATTCCTAATTCATGTTTCCTGGATTTATAAAGTTGTAGTATCTACCATGTCATTATGAATTTGGTATTAGAACATGAATATCGAAAATTTGTGAGGGGTCGTCATCTTATTTGGGGAGGTTGTATTGATGGTTGAAAGCTTTGTTTATTTGTTATGCTTGGAAGTAAAGAACTTGATATTAACCTGCATCATGCACCACTTTTTTGTTTCTTCTGTTGCAATGTCCAAACTTCTTGGTGCAATTGTCTTTTTCCTTGTTCTTTTTTGTAATTGCAAGGAATATTTGGTTCTTCCTGATGATCTCTTTGTTTAGGTTTGACTTTGATGCATCTTGAGAGAGTCATGCCTTGACTTTCTGTCACTATAATTGCAGGTGCATTCATATTTCTGAATAGCGCTGGCACCATAAGTTTTTAATGGTGGAAGAAGATTTTCTGATTTTAGATTTTTCATTTAAGAGACATTTTTACTTGTATGTTGACTTGTGAAAAGTTTGAATAAGAAAGACAGTAATTCAGCAAAAAAAATAATACTTATCAAATAAAATACTTGTCTTCATTAATACTTATCAAATAAAATAATTTATGCTTTGATTGTAGAAAAAATGTGCTTGGCGTTCGGAACATGAAGCGAAAATTTGTGCAAACTTTCACAAGAAAGCTACGCATACTCTTGCTAGTTTGTTTAATAAAGCTCGTAGAGATAATAACAAACCTAGCTGGGTTCTACCGGAGGATTGGACAAAATTACTCGTGCATTGGAAATATGATCCAAGATTTAAGCAGATGAGTGAGATCGGTAAAAAGGCAAGATCATCTACTAAGGGTGGTTCTCTACACACAAGTGGGGCTCAAAGTCAAGGAAGTGTGAGGAGGAAATTGGTGTGTATCATTTTTCTTTGTGTTTATATATTTTATGTGTTAATATTTAATTACTCTTGATTATAACTTTATTATTTTATGTAGGAAAAGGAACTAGGAAGACCGATAACTCAAGCTGAGGCATTTAAGGCAACACACATTAGAAAGAAGAAAAATCCTGAAGATCCAGACGTGTGGGTTGAACCGCGAGCTGAAGTGACCTATGTAAGCCTCTAATTTTAAAAAATAATTACTTATTTTCTAAATTTATATTCTCATATGATAACATTCAATTTAGAATCGATATCTTCAAGCTTTGGAGAATTTACAACAAACTCTATCGGAAGAAAATCGAGGTATGCCACTTACTCAAGAACAGGATGAGAGAGTTTGGTAAGACTTGATTTGTGGGCCGAGTAGATATGGGTATGCATATGGAATGCCGCATAAAACCTTTCGTGAATTTTCTTCTGAGTTTGAAGGCCTAAATAGTTCAAATCATGATAAATCAATGAAGAAAAATTTGGCTATGGAGAAAAAGATTGTTGAGCTATCTAGCCAAGTTGAAGAATCACGGGCTAGGGAAAGGCGGTTGAAATTACAGTTTGCGGGTCTTAAGGATCAATTTGATGCATTACTTACTTCAGGAGGGATTCCCCCTTGTTCTGGTGATGTCACTTTCCCTCCTCGACCTCCTCAATCTCAATCTACTCAATATCCAATTTATGGTCAACAAAAAAATATGACCCATGAGAGTAGTAGTGATGAAGAAAGTGATGATTATGTGGCAAACACACTATCACATTAGTGAAGTTTAGACTTGTGATAGTTAACTTATGGATCATTTTGTTAACTTTATAATTTTGTGATGGTAATTATTTGTTTTGTGAATAGATGATAACGTTGGAATGTATTATATAACTTATGGATATCATGATTTTTGTTTAATATATAATTATGTTGAAGTGAGTTGCAATTGAGTTGATAAGAGAATATTTAGTAAATGCATTGCTTCAATTGAGTTTTTGAAGCTCTTTGAGTTTGATTTGGGTACTGAATTAAAATGACAGGTGATGAGAAGCCGCAGAAATAATAATTTTCTGCCAGTTTTTTTCCAGAAAAAGAGACCTCATGAGGTCTCTTTTTTGCATTAATTTTCCAGATATTTCATGATAGAGACCTCATGAGGTCTCTTTTTTGCATTAATTTTTTCAGATATTTCATAATAGAGACCTCATGAGGTCTCTATTTAACATTTTCAATTTTATAGATGCAGAAAAGAGACCTCATGAGGTCTCTTTTTTGTATTAATTTTTTCAGCTATTTCATAATAGAGACCTCATCAGGTCTCTAATTAACATTTTATATTTTATAAATGCAGAAAAGAGACCTCATGAGGTCTCTTTTCTGCATTATATTTTCCGTAAATTTCATTATGGAGACCTCACGAGGTCGCTAAAAGTAAATGCAGAAAAGAAACCTTATGAGGTCACTCCTTTAAAATAATATAAAATTAAATAAAATAATATCTTAGCGACCTAATGAGGTCTCTTTATTAAAATATAAAATTAAATAATATAATAAAATTGTGACCTCATGAGGTCCCTATATAAAAAATATAAAATTAAATTAAATAATACAATAGTGACCTCATGAGGTCTCTTTTTTTAAAAAATCAGATAATTTGTTGGTGACCTCGTGAGGTCTTTGTTTGGCGACCTCATGAGGTGTCTGTAAAAAAGTGACCTGCATTTTACTGACCTACTGTTGAGGTCTCTTTTTCGGTCTCTTTTTCCCGAAAAGAGACCTCGTGAGGTCTCTTTTCTAGGTCTCTTTTTGGCCTTTTTTTAGTAGTGTGTATTCCGAGTGAATTGGTTGAGGTTGTTTCTCTCTGTATTTTGTACTCTCATATTTATGGATTGCTCATCTCCTTTGTGGACGTAGGTCAATTGACCGAACCACGTTAAATCTTCGTGTCTTTTGGTATATTTGTCGTTGTCTTCTTACTTGTGGTCATTTGAGGTTTGCTTTGCTAGCTTTCGCATTTACACCTGCTTATTTCCGATCCTAACAAGTGGTATCAGAGCCAGATTCAATGATGGATTCAGGTTCAGTGGTTCGATAATGGATGATTGAACCAGGTTAGAAAGAGGTGTTCATCTTGGCGGGTGTAGTTTTAGCTGCAACCTTTTTGACAGTAATGAAGATTTTGTTGGAGAAATTGTTTCAGAGAGGTTCTGTGTGTTGAGACATAAATTTTGCAAAGGAGATTATGGAGAGGAGAAACAAGTTGTTGAAGATTAAGTGAAGAAGGTGGACAAATTTATTTTGTTAGAAATTTAGGCCAACGGGGAGATTTGTTGATTTTTATTTGCCTTGATTTCTTACCATAAATAGGTTTTCCTTTTAGGAAAGTGTTTTGCATTGACTAATCCTTTTTCTGGTAGGAAAAGCTTTAGGACTCTATAAATAGAGGAATGTTCCTTCTAACTTAATCAACATTCACAATGTAGTCTTAAAGGGCTTTGAGAGTTTTGGTTAGGGGGAGAATTTGTGGGTCACAAGCTTGATACGTTATCACTTGTGTAAACCTCCCATGTATTTCGAGTGAATTGGTTGAGGTTGTTTCTCTCTGTATTTTGTACTCTCATATTTATAGTGGATTGCTCATATCCTTTGTGGACGTAGGTCAATTGACCGAACCACGTTAAATCTTTGTCTCTTTTGATATATTTCTCGCTGTCTTCTTACTCGTGGTCTTTTGAGGTTTGCTTTGCTAGCTTCCGCGTTTACACCTGCTTATTTCCGATCCTAACAATACATAGTAAGGGAAGATTAGTCATTTAAAGAAGAAGTTAATTGTAACTAACTAAGTGGGTTTGTTAGTAAGGAAGAGTGAGTTAGTAGTCTGGTAAAAGTGTGAAGGAGTAGTACTATAAAGAGCTGCTCACCTTGTAACTACATTATTTCTCTAATCAATAAAAAAAATGACAAGTTGTTCATATTCTCAACTCTCCTCTCTGCTATGATTGAGTTTCTACAGTTTACGATCTGTTAAAGTAAAATGTCTCACATTGGTGATTAATGAGATGTATGAACTCCTTATCAGGCTTGTTGTGGGGTGTGAGTTAGGCCTACAACCTAATTTCACAAGGAATTTTCTTGATATTTTCGTGGCTGGAATTTTGGAGAATGATATACATAATTATGATTCTTGTTGATATTTAGTTGGAAGAGAAGCATAACTTTAGTGAAGTGTTGCATCATTAGTTAACAACTGAGCTTTGTCACTCGATAAGTTGTCTTTTAGCTTAACGTGAGCTATATCATTATTTATTGTAGATTAAGGTGTTGTAACATATTAGGTTTTTCATGTGTCCAAGTTAACTGACATAAAGATATGTAATGGCCACGTAAATTTTCATTTCGACATGAATCTTTTTTCTTAGCTATATGTACCGAGGGAGAGCTTAAGAGGTGTGTTAATGTATATACTCTATTCTTGAGAATCCATGAGTTGATTATATCTTTATTCTAAACATCTTGTTGATATTTAAAAGTAAAAATTTTATATATAGTAGTAGATTTAGACTGAAGTTGTAACATTAATAATTTCATGTTATAACAGATTATTAAAAAAAAAGAGGTTGGTTTTAATAACTTAAAACATTTGGTTTTTTTTAATAAAATAAAATAATAAAAGAAATAAAATAAAACGATTTTGCTGGAAAAAGGTACAAAAAACGGAAATATAAATGTTAATTAAATTTGAATTGGTTAGAGATAATTATGAATTAGCATGAATTAAGGAATTTTGAAATAATTAAGAATATTTTATTTCCTTAATTCACTCTAATTGGTTAAAAGAAAAATTAAAAAAACAGATTTTATCCATTTTTTTTCACGTTCTCTCTCTTCACTATTCTTCCAAAATTCTTGTCAGTGACAATTAATTGAATTTTTTTTGGTTTGAAAATTTTTGATTTTGTTGTGATACGCATATCAATATTAATTAAACATGGTGAAATATGGGATCCTTCAGGCTAGTATTTATTATTATTTAGTGTTTGTATTTGGATTCATGTGAAATGAAAAAATAGAATAATGAAGATGTAAATCACATTTTGTGATTTTGTTTTTATAAATCGCTACTATATTTAAAGTTCTAAGTTTTTTTTTAAAAAATACAAACAATACATTTTGTTCATTGCGTTCGTAATACGTATTAATACATTTTGTTTATTTCGTGAGAAAGTGGCGCAATATAGGGTTGTATATGATCGGGTCGGTTTGGGTTTTTCAAACATCAAACCAATTCATTTGTTTTGTATTTTTGAATTTATAAACTAAATCAAATCAATAAAGCTCGGGTTTTTCAACTTTTGATTTTTTTGGATTCTCGGAATTTTTTGATAAAGTATTCATACAAACATATAATTTACTTGTACTTCAAATATTTCTTTAGTCCTACCAAAATGCAACTATTTAAGTTATTTCTCAAGAAAATAACAAAAAATATGATATGATTGATGAAACTAAAAATATCCAACAAAAAAATAACAATGAAATTGCGTAAAATAAATATTGCAAATTAAGAACTCACAATGAAATTAATTATAATTTAAAGTACTAAATCATGCTAAAATAAGTTTAGTAAGTATTAGTTACATAATTAATTATTAAAAGAAAGTAAAATTAGATCATGAATTTTAATTGTCTAAATCTATGTAAAACTAAAAAATAAATATTCAATATTACTATCATTCTTAGTGTTGAATCGATTTTCTTTTTGCATTAGTATTAATTTGTTTTTTATTTAAACTTATTATAATTACCAACATGTATGGACTATAATCTTTATTAGATCATTAAGAATTGCAACTTCCAAACATGAAATAAATATATTAAAAGATAAAATTATGAAAAAGTATAAGAGATATTTGAAAATTATATCAAAGTAAGTATTTTTACATATAAAATAAAGTATTAAAAATATATATATAATGTTGGGTTGGTTTGGTCTCGGATTGGTTTCTTTTAGTTGAAACCAAATCAACCCAAATATAGTAAGGGTTTTTTCAATATCAAACAAGCCAAACCAGATAACTAGTTGGATTTTTTTAGTTTGACTTATTTGCGATTTGGTTTGATTTTGACACGCCTAGCGCAATATATAAAATTTTTGAGTATAAATGTATAAAATATAAATAGTTGTATTATCAAGTTGGTATGCATATTAAAATTGAAATATTGATGACTGTTTTTTCCCCAAAAATATAAATCAAATGTATAATATTGAATGAATATGGTAGTATAAATCATATCAAATTGATATGATAGTGTGTCCACTAATGTGTAATAAACGTTGTTTAAAATTTTGTAGAAAATATATGAAAAGTGTTTTAAATTAATATCACATTTGATATGTTAAATGTATAAAGTTGTTATTTGTGTATAAAGTTGTGTGAGAGTAATGAATTATTTGGTATGAGAATTGTATAAATTTGGTATGATTGATGATGTTGTATGATATGTGTATTAATTGGGCATGAAATGTGAAATATTATTTTTTGTACGAAATCTATTTTGTAGTACACTGATTGAATGATATTTATATGAAAAAATAATGACGAGTGTGTATAATTTTGTGGGTATTATAATGAATTTTGTTGATGAAAGTTGTATTTGTCTTTAGATTGAAAAGCAAATGTTATTTAATATATTTCTAATTATTTTGTATTGTGTTAGACTAATTGTTATTTTTTTTAATGAAACAACGAAATATGTTGATTTTCAGATGGAGGAAATTAGATATGATTCGTCTAGTCTTTATAGTGGTCTAGTAAGTGCGATAACATCGCAACTTATGATAGATGTTAATATAAATGATATAGAGATAAACTAATATAATTAGTAATAGATGTCCGTCCACCTGTTAATATCCACAATGATGTCTGTGTGTGCGTATTTTTAGATCAAAAGAAAGTTAATTTAGATTTCTTCATGAAATATTCATTGTGGATAACTTTGATGAATATGACAATGGATAATGAAAATTTTGTAGTTTTTGTGGATAGGAGACATTCCGAAGTTAGTAGAACACTAACTAACTTTGATTTATATTCT